AGTTCAATAAGCAAAGCCTGTTACGATAAATAAGAAAAAGTATTAAAATCTGCAGGCGACCGTTGTTTGATTTTAAATCAGAAATGATAAGGGATTTTTATTGAGAAAACTAGTAGTGCTATTTTTTCTGAAACCCCGCCAGTCTTTCTAGTTCTATTTTTATGCTATGTATGTGTATGCGAAGGTGTTTTGCTTTGTCACCGTTTTGTAAAAAAGTGTGTCACTCGGCAGCTCGGCAGGCGGTTACTTCGCGTGATGGCTGCTCATGCATATTTGAAAATGTGCTTAGCTATTGCGCGATTCTGAATGTTTTATTATTTTTAGGCTGACTTACAGTCACAGGGTATTTAGTGAAACAGATCAGTATCGATCGATTATGACGAAAATAGAAACTGGAGCAACGGTTATTTTTCTATTGACCTGCATTATATTCCTTTTGAGGTATCGTAGGATTTACTTCGGCGTGTTTATTTTTCGGTGCTTGGTTCGGATTATGATATACATAATTGTAAACTTAAGTCATAATGTATATAATAATTATGTATTTACAATCTCACACTAGCGGATATCAGAAATTGTTATTCTCTAATGAAAGCTAGCAAATAGCATATTATTATTACTTCTTCTTACAAGCTAGGTATGAACTTCAATTTTGAAATTGGAATTTGATTTAGGGTTTCACATTTAAATTAATATTATCAATATTTAAGGTATTATATTGCTTAAAAATACTGTTTAATTCTTTTAAGCCGTTTGTTTTTTTCATTTTATTATCGACTTTTGATATCTATACCTGAAAATTTGCGTTATTTCTGAATATAGCTTCCATTTCAAGATCAGTACTACATAGATGGCACCGAATATCAACGGCGTAAAAACAAGGTACCATGAAAAACGCGTAGTGCTCTCTTGGTTTGATTGCTTTTGTTCTATTTTCGTCTTTAACGTAGGACCTTTGGACAATGGGAGATTAATCGATAGTAAGAAATTCAAACAAAGCCAGCGTAGGCCATTGCCAAAATTGACGTAGTAATAATAAAAACATAACATAATAAAAATAAATTGCAACAAAAATGTAATAACAATAAGTATCACAGTTCATAAAGTTGCTACTTGCCAAGTATATTTGCTGCAATATGAATGGTTCGGCTCGACCAGGTAAAGACCATTCTTTTACAATATACCGTGAAATAGTAAGAAAAATGTTGCTATAGTTTGAATAAGGTATACTAAGGTAAGGATAACTGATCTTCAGTTATCCTTTTTATAGGTAACGAAAGATGCCATTCTAGTCCTCAGGTCTGTTAACATATCTGCAATTATATGAGATTTGTAGTATGTCATCGGTCGACTGTGACTTACCACAAATCATATTATGATGTATTTTCACATTCATTCATTTACCAATTACAGCCTATAAAGAATCCATTGATAAACGTAGGTCTCCTCCATATATCTCCCATACTTATTTACCGTATTTGCCACATTTCGCAGGCGGGTTGCAAATTGTAGATTTTTATTATTTTGAGTTGTTTTCAGAAAGATGCTGCTTTCCATCGTCTGTTCCAGGTTCCTACTGTCGACACAAGGAATGAACGTGGGTAGTTAATTTACCATACATAAAAAAAAATTATGTACTATTTTTATATATGTCAATTTTGAGAATTTTGAGTATTAACATAAATGAAAGTAAAATTCATGTAATAATTTGTATATTTCAAAGAAGACAAAAAAACAGACGACCTAGAAAAGTAATAACTACTTAAGGAAAAACACAAAAAGGTTTACTTATAAAACTAAAAGCTTGACGTTGTAGCTATCGGGTTAGTAATTTAAATTTTAACCTTCACGTGAACAGTGTGAGAATTCCAGTAAACGATCAAGCTAATTGCGCTTTTCGTAGAGTCACGTAATAACAAATGAGTTTGTCAAATTACATTGAAGAATAATGTCGCACTATTTGTAAGACCATGTGCAGTTTTACCGTATGTAAGCAACTCGGGTTCGATTCACTGTGTGATCAATGAAATTGTGAATTACAATGATTTAACACGTGCTCGACAAAAAAATAAACGACGTGAAATGACGTGAGGAAACCAAAGAGAAAAAATAAAAAAAAATATTTCTAAAATAATTTATGAAGTCCCCCAACAGATATTGGGGCGGTGCGTAATACATTGGCTGTGAGACCACTGTACAGCAGTGGTACGTATATAGGCTGTTATATTACTATTTGAAAAGACGTTTAAATTATGTTACCATTCAAAGAATCATTTAAAATAATATACCAAACACGACAAATTTAGAAGATGTTTTGTTTTCTTTTGTCAAAACGTTACCTGCGCCTTAGTAATTTCTGCTGTATTGTGAAGATGTTTCACGTATATAAATCGCACGTTAACAATAATCCATATTTGGAGTAATTGTTTGTAGGTATCGGATTATTTTGTACAATTAGTACTGCACTGCAAATACTTTCCTTGCGAGATATGAAACCACGACCACGCAGTGCAAAAAACAAAAAGTTTAATCGCATTGACTTAAATACCACATATTATACGGTATGTATTATATGAGGCGACAGAAGGAAATAAAACTGGATATGAGCAGCATTATTATTCTCATGAAAACTCAAAATAATAAAAAAAACTGCGGATGCCAAGCGTCGCTATAAAAACTATCCCTCCTGTGAGGCTATTTTTGACGGAGGTCCATGTTTAGTAGTAGAGCCATGCTGCAGATATATTATGGTTGTAGCACGAATGGGTCGGCTCGACCGGGGAAGGACCACGCTCTCACAGAAAACCAACGTAAAATAGCAGCTTAACGCTGCTGTGTTTCGTATGGTGAGTGTAGAGAACCGGAGACTCTTTTTACTGGCAAAGAGGCATTCCATCTTAGTCCTCACGGGTGACAACGCATCTGCATCCGGAGTCTTTATTGTGGATAGATGTAGATGTTTATGGGTCACAGTAACCACTTACCATCAGGTGGACTGTGTGCTCGTTTGTCACCCGATCATATAAAAAAAAAGAACTTGTTCTAGGTTGTGACGATTATCGAATTTCATTGAAAACTCATCCTCACCAAACTGTAAACACTTTTTTTCCTGCCTCACCATAATTATTTGGCATTTATAATTTTTTTGTATCGGAAACCCATGCGTTTTAAAATGATTCTCAATGACCCTATACTACCATTGCACAGGTATCCACTAAGCTTTCTTGCAACTTTACAGCAGGATATTCGCCCCTTGTGAAATAGCCGTAGAAATGTTTTCTAACAGCATCTGCGTCGAATTGGTCGATACCTTTTACTGGTGTTTTCTTTTTCAGTCTTGGCAACGGTGCGTTTGCTTTCTGAGTGCTTCACCGACACGATGCCGCATTTGTTTCACTGGTAAAATGGACCCAACGTTTTGTGACTCACGTTCACGTACTCGAATATTTCGTGTAACTTCACCACCAATGCACAACACTGACTGTTTAAATTGGGGCTACCACAACTATATTTTCGGCATTATGATCACTTGTTTAGTCAGAGTCCAGTATATAACTTGCCAAGGTCAAAGAATATAGTAGAATCAGTCCAAAAAGTAATAGCCGAGACACAAAATAAGAAGACAAACACAAAATCACGAAAGTACGCACAGTAAGCTCTCAAAATGCCGGGAGATTGGAATTACTTAGTGTTTTTCATTATGTAAAAAATTAATTAACCAATTTAAAAAATAAAAAATTAAATAAACACATAATAAATTAAAAAAATTACATATTCGATTATTTGAATATTTTTACCCATTATTTGAATATTTTTGCCGATTATTCGCATAACAATTAATTTTAATCATTCAAACACTACGGTCAGATACATAGCGACATATCATTGAAACAACATTAGGCAAACAAGACTCTGGTTAAATGTTTTATATTTTGCTTTTTTTGAAAGATTTGAACTTAAATTAGTGATAAAGAACTATACATGTTGTAATGATATATATATTATTTCATATATAGGGATTTAAGTAAACGGTTATTTTAAATCTTGTGAGTATGCTTGTACAAAGTTATTGCGGAATGGTTAATGTGAAACGTCAAAAGGTATTTCTTAGATTTGGTTGAGTATAGACCAACGAGGCAATTAAAACATGGCCGTGTGTTTTACGTGAATACGTATGCGTAACGAAACGACTTCTAAATGGGGGCGTGCCACCATCTCCGCGCGCGAGCAGTCCTTACTCAACGTAACAAATTCTTTGATCTTTAGCTATCGAGTGGAGTAATTAAATTTTAGATGTACTCGTAGATGATATAAATATATAGCTGCAACATCAAACTGTATCCGCCAATTTTGTTATCATCAGATTTCTCAATTGTCTTCCACTATAAAAGCAAATTTAAAGACGTATTCACGTCTTACCACCACATTTACGAGGTAGCGCCATGCTGCAACTATATTATGGTTGTAGTATGAATGGGTCAGCCCGACCGGGTAAGTACCACGCTTTCAGAGAATACTAGCGTAAAATAGCAGCTCAATGCGGTGACAATGCTTGTGTATTTTGATTCTTAATCAAAGATAGATGTAGATTTTTTTTATAGGTTAGGGTGACAAATGAGCACACAGTCCACCTGATGGTAAGTGGTTACTGTGACCCATAGACATCTACACCTATCCTCAATAAAGACTCAAGATGCAGATGCGTTGTCGCCCGTGAGGACTAAGATGGAATGCCTCTTTGCCAGTAAAAACGGTCTCCGGTTCTCTACACTCACCATACGAAACACAGCAGCGTTAAGCTGCTATTTTACGCTGGTTTTCTGTGAGAGCGTGGTCCTTCCCCGGTCGAGCCGACCCATTCGTGCTACAACTATACTACTAATATAGCTGAAAATGATGTCTATGGGCCGAAGCATCCACCTACCATCAGGTGGACTGTGTGCTCGTTTGTTTCCCTTATTTCACAAAAAAATATAAAAATAATTATATGATTGTTCCAGAAGCAGCATGGTATGAGTGGCCGGGTAGGCGCGACATGCGGCGTGCGCCGCTCGCGCAACCTGCCGCCGTCGCTCTCGCGCTTTTTGTTCTTCTTCACTTCGTTAACGCTGGTTTGTAGAGGTTTCTTTTTTCTTTTTATTTACGTATGCAATCTTACAAATCTAATTCTTACGTGACCTTGAATAAACCTACACGCATTTTATTGTGTTTAATTTCCGACGTTTTGGATGTTGGTGGGCGGTGCACGATAAAATAGTTTTATTCCATGTGCAGTGTTCGTGTAAATAGCTGTGTCATATTTTAAGTGTTTTATTTTATTTTATTTTATTTTGTTCTTTTTGGAAAACTTACAGTTAACATAAACAATAAATAAATGAATAACAACTAGAAGGTCATTTAGAGGTTTTTACCTATAAGAAATATGAACTTAAAAACAATAAGTCGGTAAAAGATAAACATCAATTAAGACAAATACAGTAAACTAACAAAATTAAACAGAACAACACTCAAGAAAAGAATTTTTGCGCTAAAATATTTTTAATCGAGAAACACTGGTATTAAATAGATCCTAGTCAACGGTATTGGAAATGTCATTAAAAGTTCTGCAAGCACGTATCATAAAAGAATTTTGCCTGTATTCATTCCGGGTATGCGGCACGTGGAGTAAGCGAAGCTTTCTCAATAGGATAGCTCTTGTTGTAAATCCTAACTTACTAAGTAACTCCTGACAGTCAATATTACAATTTGCCAATTTAAAAAGATAAATCATATCTGCCATGTGCCTACGTTCGTGCAGAGGCAAAATATGAATTTTTTTACATCGCGAAATATAGAATTATCAGGTTAAAATTTTGTCTTATATTGCAGAAAACTTAGAAAATGCTTTTGTACTTACTCAATACTATCTATATAAATGTTATAATTTGGGTTCTACACTTGAGAAGCGTACTCTAAATGGCTGCGAACAAGAGCGCAATAAAGTATCGTATATGTTTTAATATTATGAAAATCGGTGGAAAATCTCAAAACGAATCCAAGTGTTTTATTGGCTTTTTTAATGATATTCTCAATATGTACTTGAAAAACTAATTTAGAATCAAAAAAATACGCCAAGATCCTTTACTGATTGTAATCTCTCTATTATCAGTGTCTTGTAATTTGTAGTGAAAGATAAGGGGTAAAAGTAAGGATGAAACACTTGGACACATTCAAGTCAAGTTTGTTGCGTGAACAATATCGTTCAAGTTCATTGAGATCACGCTGCAGACCAAGGCAGTCAGAAGTATTTGTGATGGGACATAAAATTTTCATGTCATCACCGTAAAGGATTATTTTGGAGTAAGAAAAACAGGAACCTATATCATTTATAAAAATCGTAAACAGCAATGGACCTAATAGCGATCCCTGTGATATACCTGAAGAGATTTACACAGTTGCTGACGTATAACCATTGAGTACTACTATCTGACAACGATTATCAATATAAGACTTAAACCACCTAAACAGATCGCCACTGATACCTCCTTCGAGAAGTTTGCTGAGAAGTATAACGTGATGTAAACGGTCTAACGCTTTACTGTAATCCACTTGTAAGTGTCCACTTGTAAGCGCTCAGACATTATGTTAGTTAAATATTCAGAACAGACAATAAGGTTCGAAACAGTGGAACTACTTTTTAAAAAGCTGTGTTGATAATCACTGCGAGTTTATTTGATGCCATGATATATAGACAAGTATACGATTTTCTCAAAGATTTTGGTGAATAAACAGAGCTTGGATATTGGCCTATAGTTTTCTCCAGGTTCCTTTGGGCCTTTTTATGGATGGGGGTAATAAATGCAGATTTCCAAGTAAGAGGTACTATTCCTTCCTTAAGCGAACGTCTGTATAATATTGTTAACGGTATAGTCAAGCTTTTAGCACACTTACTTATAAGAATGGGTGATATACCATCTGGACCTGCAGATTTATTAAGGTCAATAGAATTTAAGAGCTTAAAGACTTCAGTTTCGCTAACTTGTATCGAATTTATAACCGACACAGTATGTGATCACCAATTATCGGGTTCGTATTGGGTGTCATAGTTACTGCGAATTTGGTGAAAATTACCAATCGCTAAACATATAACAAATAATACCTCCTAGGTCTGATGATATGTGTCCATATTTCATTATAGATGGACAAGCGTTTGACGCTTTTTATTTTTCACGAAGAACGAGAAGGTACTTGGCGATTTATCTATCTTTGCTATATAATTGTTGAACGTTTCAGATTTTGATTGTTTGGCACGATTACCTTACATTAAAAAAGACTCATAGTCTGACAAATTGCCATATTTTTTATATTTGGTGTTGTAGCCGGTGGAAGGAAATGGGAAGATCTCCCACCAGGCAAGGTGTTCTGCCCGGGGAGCGGCCAACGCTCCGAGTGGTAGTTCAGAGCTATTCTATATATACTGCTGTAACTTCGGAACTTTGTAAGCGCGATTTAGCCTTCGATGTGTTTCGCTTGTGGCGCGGCAACAGCGCTGCCATAGTGTGATATTTAAACTTTTCCTTTAAAATTATTATGAGAGTGGTTTTATAACAAGGGGGATATTTAGAAGACGATTTTACAACCTTTGTTGGTATGTGAGTGCTGCACAAGTTGTTTAATCGAGTATACACTAGTGACAATGCATCGTCCACTCTGCCCTTGAAAAGATCGTAAGACCATGTAAAATTATCAAGCTCTCGTCATATAGAGGAAATATCAGCTAAATGGTACATAAACCTAGTCCTTGGTTGGACTGGTAAAGTGTGATACTCGATAAAATCCGCTAGAACACTAAGAGCCATATGATGAGGGTCTTCAGGCACTAAAAAGTCGGTACATTTTATTGCGGATAACTGATTATTGCAAAATATTAAATAGAGGATTCTGTTGTTAACATTGGTATGAGAGTTATATTGCTGCAAATTACACGTATTTAAGGTTTCAAAAAAGTCGGACTGAACAGACCCCTCAATATTGTCTGGACAAAGAGAGTATCCATCATCATCAAGAGTCCAACTTCCAATATATATTTGACAGATTAAAATCTTCCAAAATACGGAAAGCGTCAGTTAGATTGGTCGTTACTATGTCGTATAATTTTGTATAAAAACAATCTAACTGTGCAGATAACGAGTTACCCAGAATATTATAACACAATATTTCCCATATTCTAAAGAAACATGTTGACAGCCCATCACAAGCTCACTGCTGAACATTTCTATAGATTGCCACAATATAATATTATAAAATTTTAACTTTCATGCTTATTTTGTAAGGAAGAATCGTAATGCTGATCGCTTTTTAATTATTGCTCACTTTTATCTCGGATTAATGGGCCGTTAATCATAACAATATTTTTTATATTCCAAATAAGCGTGTCACCATTGTCGACATTACAGTCCATCACAAGTACACTTTTGAATATAGGCATTCTACTAGATTGCCTGAAAGTAATACTAAAACATTTAAAACTTGGTTCTTACGACTTAATCAATATATGTGTCTATTATAACTTTATTTATAAAACTAATTATTGTTTACTATTCTCTAGGATCAATAGGCCCTGGTGTGCCAGAGAATATAACTGTAACTTTTCTGAATCCAACTACGGTGAGAGTCTCGTGGTCTACTGGTGCAGATCTAGTAGAAAAGTATGACGTCACGTACAAGCCATCCGATGCTAGGTAAGTACATGATTGCTTATACCGACTTTTTAAAGCTTTTACTGTCTTGTCTTGTCTATCCTCTTACTGTGCTATTAACCTACTAATATTATCTATTCTGTTACAATCTCCGTTAATTAGAATATTCTTAATTGTGATTTTAAGCGAAAATATTTTACCGTAAATTTAATATTATTTTAACATACAATAAAAATGCTTTGTTGTAGAAATCTTTATTATTTGTACGCTTGTTAAGAAAGTTTTTGTGTCGCATGTTGTTGGATAGTGTTACAAAATTTAAGGAAATCAAAAAAAGTTCTTTGTTTTGTCTATACACTAAAATAAATTTAGAAAATGAATGTTAGAAGTCGTCAAAATAATAAATCGAATCTATAAAATTTATTTAAATGAAAAAGCACATTGATTCGGCATGCACAAGCACATAACATAAAATTCTAGAAAATAATATTAAAATTAGTAAAAACTAAATTAGTTAGACACTAGATCACTAAATTAAAATCTCATTTAATATTAACAAATTTCGATGTGAGAGTAGCCTAATGCTTAAGTTTATGGATCGCGAACTTGAATGTCGTGAGTTTAAATCCAGCATAGATGGTAAAACACATTAACTAAGCCCCTACGAAACACTTTTAATAAAAGCCCTTTGACTCGAAGACACCAAGATTGTAATCGAGCAGAAAGACTGACGCTGGCAAATTATTTGACTCTTTTGCTGTAAGTATTACGAAAGAAGACGCAAAATTTTATTTGAAATTATTATTTTTATTCCTACCACTATTGAAAGCATTGGTCCAACTCAAAGAGTTATAATCGTCATATTACTTCGGCCGATGAAAATGTTGTTGATGATGATTTATGTTCACAATACTGTTGTTATTACAAGGCTTTTTAAAACGATGTAACATACAAGATACATATAATATCAATGATCGATCGAATAATTTAACTTTTTATTCTTACAACTTATTAAGAATATTAACAACTGTATAAGATACAGAGCATTGTTAAGATTATATGATGACGAATGAACGAGTTAAAGTCAAAGTCAAAAACAAATTATCATATTAAGTTTAGTCATTATGCTCTTTAGTGTCTTACCTATATATGTACACGGGTTTGATAACTGTTTTTTTTTTACATATAGCCCATTGCTTAAATACAATCCTACTTGATAGCAAAAGTAATGAAATTCTAAATAGTGAATTGGAATGTTTTAGCGCAAAAAATACCTACTCACTCACTTCATTGTTTATTTTTTACCTTGACAATGTTTCTGATCTATTTTCTTCATTCTTCATATTTCTTCAGCATGTTAATTATAAACGTCGAAATTGACTCATTGTCGGTTAGTTACAGAGTGGTGCTGGAGGTGGCTGGTAATTCCGATGCCGTTATTTTAAGCGGACTTGAAGCAGACACACAGTATCAGGTTACCGTAGCTGCCCTGTGGGGCGGTCATAAGTACCGCAGCAGACCCATTGTCTTCCGCACGCTGGGTAAGTTTTGTTTCGTTTTGTTAATTGAGGGTGGGGATATTTATCCAATAATATTTTAAATAATTAAAAGAGAAACAGGTTATTAATTCGACCGGGTTTCCCAGTATCGTTGCAAAAAATTATGGACATGTGGAAAGTAAAGAAAAACGCTGCTAATAGTCAAGTATGCATTTTTTGCAACTGTATTAGCTCTATAAATTAATGAATCAAATCTATAATGTGCTAATTGTAATATTATGTCGTCTAATGCATTAAGTGGGTAAATATTTTTATTATATAGTTATTGTGCTTCCGGAAATCTTTTGCCTTTTTGTCTCTCCATTACTCTTTATTCTAGGAACTCACAATAGTTAGGTCCCTCGATTATTCTAGTAACTTCGCTAATCTCTAAATTTATATGCAAAGTATAACCTAAATAATGATAAAATTTACTAAAGAAATCATCAAAATTTGTTAACAGTTGAAAACAATATCGCGTGATGTATATACAAATGCAACAGTAGAATTGTAAGCCTGCTCTTATATAAAATAGGCTTCAAATAAGTTTTTTTTTTCTAAAATCATTAAAATTTTCATATTTTATTGAAGTCGTGTTATTTTAAACTTATTTTAACATGTCGTCATGAAATTTATCTTAAAAATAATAAAATTGTAAAATATAACGAGCGTAAGTTACTTTTTATAAGAGGGGGCAAACTAGCATGCGGTTCACCTGATGGTAAGTGACTACTGCCGCCCATGAACAACTGCAAACTAGGAGAATTGCAGATGCGTTGCCAACATTTTAAAAAAAGTGTAGGCTTTTTCATGAAGGTCCGTAAGTTGTTTCGGTCACAGTGGTGGATCTCTAATCATCCAGTTATCTAGTTACATAGTCAAACAAAAACCTGACTGTTAAGAACAAATAGACGTCTCAATATATTTTCAAAAGATTTAGGTTGTTTCGGATTACCATTAAGGATTAAAATTTCAAATAACTTAAGCCGATTCATTAAAGAGGAGATTGTGTATTCTCTTAGGCCCCATTTAAGTGGCGTAAATAATATAAAATAGTTTGGAAAATCCAAAAGTGAGCGTCTCATGAGCGTTTCATTAAATTTTGATGAAAAAAATAAATTGTCTTCCTGAATTTTAAAACATATTATTTAACTACGTGTTTTAAATTTAGCGCTCTACTACTATTTTAACAGGTAGTGTCAGCTACAGGGAAAAATTTCAGTATAAAATCGAAATAGGCTGTACGGTACATTTGTCCTATGTCTACCAAGGCCTAAAAAATATGAAAGCGTCTTTAAATTTTTAATAGCAATAAAACTTATAAAATTTGAAAATCATTTTATTAACGAACTACGCGTACAAGGCTATTGATATGAAATAGGTTGATGTAATTCTGTTGCTAATAAAAAACCCGGTCTCGATACGTCAATTTTTTCGGGAGTTATCTTGACCACATACAAAATCGACATAAGGATGTGCAAGTAAATTTTTTTAAACCGTTTTTTTTTAAGTAGCAATATAAAATGATTTTTTAGAAAATATAATTTGGATTAATTAGAGTGTTTTATTGATTTACACCTACTCATACAAATCGTATAAGTGCAAAATGGTTATGATAGAGGCATTTAAAGAACACAACACTTCGTGATCTTACTTTAATTTTTTTTTGTTTTATTTATAATATATTATGTACCACTAGATGGTAAGACTCCTTTTCTACCTTGAAGTACTTCTGTGTGACTACCATTCTCTTACTTATTTAATAATTAATAGCAGTGTTCCGGTAAAAAGGGTATAGAGTAAAAATATAATTACATGTTGTAAGGCATTCTAGCTTAGTCCTCAGAGGTGACAAGGCGTCTGTAGCTTTCTTCGTTAGATCAAGTCAGTCCACCATTATGTGGACTGTGAGTTCTTTTGACACTTCAGTTTGATGATTGAAGGGACCCAGCTGTTGATTTTACAGGCTAATTAAAAACTGAGATCAAAACCTGATCAGCAGTTACTTACTTTTCATCAAAGTAGTACTTTTATAGAATTAAGACGACAAACGAGTACACAGTCCACCTGATGGCAAGTGGATGCTGTGGCCCATCGGTAGCTATCCTCGATAAAGAATCGAAATGCAGATGCGTTTTCACCCTGAGGACTATGAACGAATGCTTCGTTTCCAGTAAAAATGTCTCCAGTTCCCTACTATTTTCTTTCGTATAGTGAGATACGAAACAAAACAACTTTAAGCCGGTATTTTACGCTGGTATTCTGTAAGAGCATTGTTTTTCCTTGGTCAAGCCGACCCATTTGTGCTACAATCATGCCATACCTAGACATACAAATTAAAAATATAATTAAGCTAACTGTAGTATCTATTAATATAACTAATAAAGCTAAGTCATATTAGAACAGCATGGTATGGTAACATTTAAGAAACCTAAGACATATATAATGCCGAAGCGCCAAGTTACACAAAGGCGGAAATATCTCATACCTAGGGTTGAAAATTACTTTGGACGACGTACAAGGCAATGGATAACTCCGACCTTGTGTAATGAGGTGGTGGGTATTTATGACGAAAGCGTAACAAAGTCGCAGCTCAAAACAATCTTGAGGAAACATTACATGTCGTTGTGTCCTTAGTAGTGAATGTATCTTTAATTATGTATGTGTTAATTTAAGTATTTATTAGTAACTTATATTGTTATTAAGGAGTGTGAAACGATAAACTGTTGCGTTGCTGACAAACTGGCTTATAGTTTGGCAAAATTTAAAATGTATAAATAATGTAACACTCTTTCTAAGAATAAAATTAAAAAAATTAAGTTAACCACTCGAAGTAAGCTTAAAATGCTTGTACTGGGAATGGATAACCAATGTGGTTATCCATCCCTAGTCGAACAGCGGATTGGTACTTACGATTTTTTGAGTGTCCGATCCTACCATTAGGCTAATGTAGTTTCATTTTTATTTTAGTTTATTAATATGTAAAATTAATATATTATGTATGTTCAATTTTAGCTTTATCTTGCGACATTCGTTTTAAAATAATAACAAAATAAACTTTGAATCAAGAATATATTTAATGGAGTAGCATTATCTGCTAAAGCATTAATCATTCCACAGTGATTACTTTTTGACAAGTTCGCAATGTTAAATCTTTTTTAACTTTTATCATGTAAGACGGGAGGCAATAATTTCTATTGAGTTTATATAATAATGAAGATAATATAGCCTTGTTGTAAAATGTAACGTAATTTATTTTACGTGTTAAAGCCAAGCTGCAGATGTATTATGACTATCAATAACATGAATGGATCGCTTCGACCAGGGAAGTATCACGATCGCTCAGAATAATATACGATGAGAGATGTGGACCGGATACCCTCTTTATACTATGAACGAAACATTTCATCGTAGTCCCTGAGTGTTATAACGTATCTGCACTTTTATACCTAATCGAGGATTGATGAAAAGGTGAACGGTGTGCTCGTTCGACAACCTTACTAGTATAAAAATATAACTGATTTGTTAAGAATTGTACAGGCAGACATACATTATTAACGGGTACTGTGTAACGGTGATGTAAGAATATCTACTATTGTACATCGTCCTTTGAGTGTCGTAAGAGGCGAAAAAGGGAAACAAAAGATGGGCGGTGGTGTCTTCCCAATAACAACTTAAAAGTATCTGTGACAAATATAGCAAATTTCCCACAAATGAGGCAATTCATGAGGAGGACTATATTCAACAATGGAATTTTGATAGGCTGTAATGACTGGATTAATTAATTCAGTTTTTGAGCATCATCCAAATAACAAAAATATTCATAAAGTAATTTAATACTTTCCGACAGACACGCCATGTCATTCTGTGGATAGTAAAAGACATCGAAGAATGGGTTGGCCATTCGTGGTACAACCATAATATAGCTGCAGAGTGGCTCTGACCCGTATAGATATACGACGTGGATGTTTTATTTTTATTTCAGCCTGTGATTACTAACAACGAGTGTGACACAAATAATAGTATATTCGTAAGTAATACGTATACTATACATTAACTAATCAACGTCGCGGCGGCGTTAGGTTTCAAGACGCATTTGGCACGGATCCAGACGTTTCGTTTGCTCAAGCATCCGATCTTCCGGGTTGCATATGTTTCTTGACGTAACTAATGTTGACTGGAAGATTATTCTAACCTCTTCTTAAAAATGTGTCTGTTTTAACTGTCTACCAACAATATGCATTCTTTTATTTTTTTTTATATTTATTGATAATGCCTTCATGAATTTAAAACATTTATTTACGTTCGTAATACTAATGAATCTTGAAATAAAAGTGGAATCAAGATGTGGTTCATTTCTGTTAGATGTATAAGGAAACTACATGATAAAATGAGCAACAAGAATATCCGTGAAGACAAAAGTAACTACAACATAACCCAACGGATCAGTAGGCTGCAGTTGCAATGGACTAGGCATATTTTTTATTATTATAGAAGGTCGTGTTTGTTTGCTATCCCATTTAATGATATGTGTTGATGTAGTTGAAGATGGTGAAATAACTTTTATTCCATTCCCGTCAACGAGTATATTATAGCTGCAGCCCGAATTGCAGCATAATACAGCGGGCTTAGCCAAGATGATTTTCTACGACCGTTATCGGTAAAGAGAACTATAAATAGAATAAATATAACATTAAATTACGTGACTCTTAAGTGGTTTAACGTTCAAACATTTAATTCTCCTTTATTTTTATAGTATTCTATAGTTTTAACGATCGTAAAAGTCATCTTGGCTATCCCCACTGTTGTGTTTGTTGCACTAGTTGTGTGACGGAGAACCTCTTTTCTAGTAACGAGACATTCCATCTTAGGCATTGCATTTGAATTTTGATTCTTATTCAAGGATAATAGTAGGTGGATGTGGACCACGGTATTCACTTAACATCGGGTGAGTTCAACTCGTTTGTCACCATCTTTATAAAAAAAAAGAAAAATATAAGTGTAAATCCTGAAGAATCATATAAATCACTGCCAATTGATGGGGAAAATACATCTCCTAGATGGAGTGACAATCTGACGACACATCCAGGGAGTCGATAGATGTAGACGGTTAAAGGCTGAGCTTTGTGGCAATTTATAGGGAAAACCCAAAGAACTTGTAATTGGCTGTAATGGCGATGTTGATGAAATAAAATTTTGCCAAAACTTTATAGGTATTTTCATTAGTCAGACTGTATGAGTTGTCAGCAAATTTCATAAATGTTTGGCTTATACTTCCACCATTTTGGTAAATCTCCGTATCATACCATAAGATATAGATAAAAGATATATAAATATATATAAATATATATATATATATATGAAGAAGACCATCATAGAAAAGAAAACATTTTTCGATTATATTTTTATTTCTATTACTTGTCATTTATGTTCCATTCCTTTATTTAAAAAAAAAGTTTATTTTTACGTATCGGTCCGGTTTATCGTAAAGATTTGAAAACTGTTTCAATTACATACAAATTCAGTTGAATAACTTGAAATTAAAAATTAAAGAATTTCAAAATGTCATTATTATTATTGTACCATTTTGCACGCCTCATAACACGAAGCCTTATTAGGTAGTGCATTACTCTCAACACGTCAAGGTCAAGCAATTTTGTGGTTTTAAAATGCCATGTTGCACTTATGTGATGATATAAGTAGCTGAATATCAAGAAAACACTCTAATTAATTTATCTAGTATTTTCAAAAAAAAAATTATATTGCTACTTTGATAAAAAACGGTTTGAAAATTTGTTACGTGGATGTCCGAATGTTGATTTTGTATGTGGTTACGATAACTTCCGAAAAAAAATAGACGTATCGATATCGGGTTTTGTTTATTAGCCTCAGAATTACATCAACTTGCTCCCTATTTCATATCAATAACGTTGTTTGTTGATAAAATGATTTTCAGGTTTTATATGTTTTATTGCTATTTAAAATTTAAAGGCGCTTTCATATTTTCTTAGCCATTGAGAGACAACACATAAATGTGTAGCCTGTATCGATTTTATACTTTGCGTAATCGATTTATTTTGGTAAACATTATAATTTATTTCCCTACAGGTGACACTACCTGTTTAAATAATAGAACGCTTAATTTAAAACACGCAAATAATATATATTAAAAGGTAGGAATACAATTTTTTTTATCAAAATTAAATGAAACGCTCATAAGGCTTGCATTTTTTGATTACCCAAGACAGACAGACAGACAGATGGACAGATAGACAATTTTTTTTTTACGAATGGTTATTCATGTCTTAATGGCATGCAAATAACCCCTTGACCTCGATAAAAAGGCAGTTAAATTTTATTTTTATGTATGGGCACTTAAATTTTATTTTTATATACCTATGGCTTTATAAATAACATTTGAGTGAGTTTTAATGTTTTGTTACGTAGTACACTAGTCGCTAATTTGACTTTGAATGTCGCGACGTCATGTTATAATTGATATTCAGTTAAGTGCATATGTAAATAATTCAAATTTTATTACCGTACAGAGCCCCCTCGGACTTCACCGCAACAGGACGGGGGGCTGGTGGGAGCGACACCCCGTTCCTCCGTTTCACCGCCCGATCCCTCACCCACCTTCCCCACGGTATAGTTGCTTGTGAACTTGTTTTTCTATTTTAAGTATATCTAACAAAGTTTTCAAATCGATAATGTAAATTAATAACTTGCTCAATAAGTTTGTCATAAAATCTGGTATATAAAATAAATAACAAGGCATGTTATTGATTTTCGTTCAAAAAATATAGGTCGTTAACGTTAATATCATTTGTAGACCATGCCAACACTTATTCCGCGCAGGAATTGAACCCGTGACCTGTGGTACCGAAACCACATGCTTAGCTAATGTTCTGCCGAGTCTTTTGTAATTAATATTACAATAGTATGTTATTTAAGTATCATTACAATAATTTGAACAAAAATGATAAATTATGAGCGTAAAAGAATCGTTTATATAAATAACATAGAAGACGTAAATAGATATCATGTTAAATAATATTTTTTTCTCGTATTAATTTTATATAAGTATAAAGATATCTGTACACATCTTACATTGCTAGGTACTATATTATAATTTAATAAGAGAGATATACTAAGCCCTCTTGTAGTGGCATATAATCTCTGACACTGCCAGTACGTAGCAGCAAACGACATTAAGCCGATTACGACACTTGAGCGAGATTACTTGAAGTCAAATTCAAATACATGTTACGAAGAATATTTTAATACGTTAACACAGTGCCTGAATTTTTTTTATAGAATAATTTTGATAAATGACGGAGTGCCTTCTTTACAGTAAAAAGGGTCTCCTGTTCTCTACACTCACCGTACGAAACGCAGCAGCGTTAAGCTGCTATTTTACGCTTGTATACTGTGAGAGTGTGATCCTTCCCCAGTCGAGCTAACCAATTCGTGCTACAACTATACTACTAATATAGCTGCAGCATGGCTCTACCACGTAAAAACCCTTTACTGTTTCTTCACTATTTCCTTTACTAGTGTTTGTTTAGTACCTTCTATTGTTAAATACATCTTATTCCGTACTTAGATACGAGGAGTGGAAATAGGCATCGTTGTGCTAGTGCTGATTGTATGGATCGGGGCTATTGCCCTTTTCTTCAACCGCTGGGGAAAAATTCGAATGTTACTACCATATCAACCTGACTATAAGCAAGAACAGTTAAAGGTAAGGACTACACAATCAAAGTCAAAATATTTTTATTTAAAATTGTCATATACAAAGAACTTTTTATAAAAATCGTAAAGCTACGCGATCTCTTAACAAGACCCTAAAGTGGGAGACTATGTCAGAAGCAGCGGTAAAAAAAGTTTCTTACCGCTGCCTCTAGTACACTATTAGTACACTATTTTTCTACCAACAATTACAGAGTAACCTTTATAAAATATGTAAACATAAATCAAGAAAATCGAAGAAAGCTCATTATGTTTAAGCATTCTTATCTCATCATCTAAATTACAATAACCTTTTTTCATTAGAATATTTTATCAGAAGCTTTTTTCATTAGAATGATTTTTAGATATGCCTTGAATTTATGCAAAGGCAACTCAGTAATATTACAGGGATTCTAATTTTAAATGAGTATACATCTATCCTAAAACAACTACTCTTAATAATTAATAGTTTGTGTAGTCATTTTAACATTTTATCAAATTATAGGACAACGAAATGTTTTCATTTTGCTGTAAAAAAATTGCAATATTAATAAATATACAAACGTATAAGTACCATTAGGAATTTACGATTGGTTATTTCCAATGTGATTTCCATCAACAGGTGGAAGAGTGCACATCTCATGTATCAACGCCGTTATAAATCATGGTGTGTGATAAATTACCTCCAAGTATAGCTTTTTAGAAAAATGCTTTATTTTAGCTCAAGCCTTCTTAAACTTAGCGTTAGTACTTTTTTTTTCTTACATTTTAGCTAGTTATTTTTATGCTACTCATGGGAATCATACTTTGATTTAGAAAGAATAAGTATGCTGTAAATATTTATTATCGTAACTTTTATTTAAAAAACGATATATTTAGAATTTCCTTCAAAATAATACGTAGTATGGTTTAAATATTATTATAATTTTATTTATAAATTTAAATAGTTGCCTTAAAATAATAATCTTGACCAAAGAACACATGTCATTTGGTCGAGAATTTTATTAAAGTTTTTAGTTATTATTTTTATATTACATCTATTACATACATATACACATCGTAATGAATAAAACCTTTAGAGGCCTTTATTTGTCTATAGTAATCTTGTAAACCTTTTGAAGTTAATATTTTTGAACTTCTCAGTAGTTGATATCCTTATAAATAAAAATAAAATAGGTATAATATTTTTTTTGCTAATAATTACCACATTATCTAGTTAAGTTATTCCTAATTTATTTTATACTCTTATCATAGAACATGCCTCATATATACCCAATAAGAAAAAATAAGCATATTATGTTAGTGAACCATTGCATACTGGAACGGAATGTTTTATATTATAAAATTCATTTACCAAAACTGCTCTGTCAAAAAAGTATCAGTAGCAGACATATGTCATTCATTCATTTTTACTGATCCAATCATTCAAGTATTGATTCGTCTTATGAACCGGATCAAAAACTGACAGAATACCTTAAATAGTTATTTTTTAACTTTTTTGAACAACGCGTAAACCTGCGGGCCACATATTACATCCCACCAAAAACTTAATAGGCATCGTTTTAGCCTTCAGCTCCATCGATACGTTTTGTTTTAAGCGTCTCCCACACAGAAGCGGATAGCGGTGGCAGCCGCGGTGGCGGCCAGTTGTATTCGCTCGCAGTATGAGTGAGTCTGCAAACTCGTGCGGCCATGGTGTGGCCTGCCAGCGGCAGGCCGTGGCCGCATGCCCCGCCCATCTGCCAACGCGTGTATGTCAGCGAGTACGCGGTCAGTCTATGGCCGCAGCGCGGTCAGTTGCAAATTTTTACAACAGGCCGCGTGTACCGCGTGAAGAATGGTGCTAAATTCAGAGATTTTAATGGAAACAGTGCAAAATTATCCAGTACTTTATGATAATTCGCATCGTGATTACAAAAGCATTAGGATTAAAAATAAAATATATGATAATATTGCTGAATATAATAAGACTCCGTCACGGTTTGTCATATTTACTGGCGTCCGGTCGTAGCACAGACACCACAGCGAATGGCGCTTCAGGCCGCTACTTGGGCCGCGGTAGTGTGTTGATACAATGGCTGCAGCCGCAGCGCGCGGTTAGCCGCCACTTTTTTTTTCTGAAAGTGTACGCTGTTGGCCTTGCGGCCTTGACTGCTTCATCTAATTAGGTTCGTAAGTGAGGACCTACGAACTATTGAGTGTAACGATTCTGCCGGCGGAGAGGCGGCGCGAAGCGCCGCTTCGCCGACTGCAGTCCCAAGGCACCCCGACCCCTGCTTTCGATTCGGCTCGATGCGATACAAGGGCCCCGCAGAAGGAGGTATGAACCTCGGCTTGAATCACTATCGCAACTTTTATTTACGGGTCGCAAAGTTAGAAACGCCCCGTATCACGGGTGTTGAACCTCGTGAATGGGGTGTGTGTGACGACGCGTTCGCCGGCGAACGCGGTGTGCCCTAGTGTTCTGTACTAGAGTGGTGTCTGAGTGTGTGTGTGTGTGTGTGTTTATGTTAACTTATCTAATTCCCTCTCCTTTGGAGGGGGGGGGGCGGGATCGACCTATTTATAGAAGTGATCTCGTCGTCGGGATCAAGAAGAACATTCTTGGGACGTCTCCTGTGGGGGGCAGCATCCCTCTCTGTGAAGTACGAGCCCGCCTCATTCACCAACGGATTTTTGTTTTCCTTAATCGAATATCTTAAAGCATCTTAAGGATAATTCCTTAAGATACGACTGGATAGTGGGCATGTCGAGGTCGCGGTGAAGATCCGCGTTCCTCACATAATAAGGAGCTCCTGTGATCTGACGCAGGAATTTATTTCGTACGACTTGAAGTTTTTGTAAACTTCTTTTGGGAACATGAGCAAAGGACACACCCGCGTATGTCATGATAGGACGTACGCAGGTTTTGTAGAGATGCAGTTTGCGTCTTAGGGACAGGTTACTGCTTTTGTTGATTAAGGCGTAAAGTCGGTACACTACGAATTTTGCCTTATTCCTAACTGTTCTAATGTGCTGAGAGAAGCTCATTGCACAATCTAAGGTCACCCCCAGGTATTTCACCTCTCGGACCCATGGGATTGGGCTGTCGTAGAGGGAGATCGTACCGTTTTTATATTTTTTAATTTTTGCCATTAATCTGTTATAAGCAAACCTTCTGTTAAAACAAATGGCTTTGCTCTTATCAGGGTTCAGCTCGATTCTCCATTTTCTGCACCAATCGCCTAATCCGTTTGCTTTATCTCGGCGTTGGCCGCAGATTCTAACCGGGTGGACATCTGAGGAATAGATGGTGGTGTCATCCGCGTATAGTGCGAGATGAGTACCTGGTATTAAGGGAATATCACTTGCATAGAGTGAGTAAAGGGTCGGGGAGAGCACAGAGCCGTGGGGAACTCCTGCTCTGACGGGTCTGAAAGAGGAGAAAGTGTGTGGGAGACGCTTTAAGCGGTTCGATCGACTTGAGACGGATACCCCAGAATGGCGGTTTTAGTTTCGGGAACATAAAGATGACTTCTTATTGTCCTATAATGACCATAGCATTTGTCGCGTATTTGTTAATTTTACGCTATACGATGCGAATTACTGTCGTCCAAAATTCACGAGTTATTTCCGGTTAGTTACTTCCACAATATTGGTAGTTTTGATAGATTTTCCCACACGAACCGGAAAGCCAGAAATAAATTGGCATATGGCCAGATAGTATTTTTCAATTAAATTTTGTATTTCTTTTTGGAACGAACTCATGATGGACCAAAACAGATATCGAAGAAAAGAATGAGCATCACCTTGACCTTTGTGCAACTTTGACGTGTTTTTTTTTCGGTTTCCGTTTATACTCTCCATTTTGATTCCTGCTACATGTCAAAATCATAGATGAATTTCGGATTAGAATTGACGCAATCTAGCATGAGGAGACATGTTTATGATGTTCACATGGTTATGATGTCAGTTTTTTCCGTGCCAGTAAAGGGGCGATACGTTTCAGGCCCAAATTAAAATTACAAGCCAAAATTGAACGAATGAATTTGACCACGAAAGTAAGATCAAAGAACAAATTTTATGACAAATACTCTATTCAAATATTTCGTTCATGACAAGCTGCAATATTTTTTTATCATTGCCATGGACTTTACAAATCCCCTAATCCCGGTACTTTTTTGACAGATTGTAAGAGGTTTTAATATTTAATATTTATTAATTATTTTAAAGGCGAGGTTGTTAAAAATACCTAATTAATAAATAATTATATTATTGTCAGGTACCAGGAAGCAGTGCCTTAGCAGCGGCTACTGCGGGAGGTACATGCGGAGGCCACTCCGCACCGTCAGCTTGTTCGGTAACTAGAATTTTAATAATAGAAAGTGCTTATTTTAGATGTAATATTTTATGATTAACACGTATTTATGTGTAAATATTACTAAACTTTTATTTATTTTTAATTTAAATATTAGATCAATGATCATTTTCATATTGAGGCTAGTTTATCTATATCCACGAAACAGGGTACTAAAATATACTGACGTTTATAAGCATCTTTAAAATTATAATTAACGCTATCTGTAATTACATCCATTTCAAAGCAGCCACTGTTTTGGAAATGGTAGAAAGTAAATAACTTTAAATCAGATAAAGTTATACGATAAATGTTTCGCGAGCAATAGAGAAGATTTATTCAATTGTGTGTTCTGAAGTCTGAAGGTTGCGGGGCGGCGACTATGCGAGTTAGTGATATTTAAAGCTTGGGAATGTGATTACCAACTGCAATGCACCATTGTTATAAAGCAAAGGTCGCAGCTAATCCTGCAGTTTTTATTGCAGTTAGGTATATTTAATTAATTAAAAGTTATAAAAGACTTCAACAGCTTTCCGGTTTAAAATTAAATTACTGATAATTTAAGTTTGTATTATATACAGCTATGGTTGGCAAATCAGAAAACCGGATCTAAAGAAAATTTTAAAATATCAGTTTTTGAGGAAAGTAGTCGGGAGAAACATATTCTCTCTCATAAGTTTATTGAAAAAAAAATCGAAACTACTGCAACTAATAAATATTTAAGATATATAAGAATTTTGAGATCATTATCTGTAATCGATATAGTATTATTTCGATGGCAGCAAAGTAAAAACAGACATTAGTAAAAAAATTGTGGTCATTTTGAGAGTTATGGACCGATTAACATGAAATTTTCTATGAAGCATTAAAATAGCATTCTTTATGAATTATGCAGTAGTTTTTATCTCTATGTCGTTGTTTTACTAAAATAATTTAGATGTCTTTTTTTTTACTCTAAAAACTTTGACGTAGAAAAAGAAATCTGCCTGATATCCGTTTATACGTTGTGATAAAAAAGCGTCCAATTCATTTAAAATATGTAATAAACTAAGATAATTATCTCCATTAATACTTTTAAGGATATTTAAAAAAATCTAAGCAACATGCAAACAGTATTCCCCTTTTTTGACGAAATTTTGCAGATGTCTTTATTTACTTTGCATTTAATATTTATACATTATCAATTAATGAGTTACATACCAGGCGGATAAATTCAAATGTCCGTTTCTGCGATGTTTCTTTTTAAATCGAAGGTAGATGTCTTCATTTACGTGCCAGATTTTCTTCATTATTTTGAAATTTGAAATAATTTTAATACAGTCTTGTAGATAGGGTTGATTTAAGCTCATTTTTGTAAAAAAAAAGCATTTTCATAAAAATGTAGATGTCCGTTTCTACTTTGCTGCCATCGATTTAATATGAAATGATTTTTGCCTTGTTTTATTGTACCTTAATTTTGTTATAACTGACTCTACCAAAAAAAAATCATAAAATATCAGGAAGTTAATTGTATTTAATAGTCAGCACGGGCTTTTTATTTACGTATATTTATGTACCTTCGTATATTATGTTTCCGTACTATGTTATGTTTACGTATTCTTATGTACGTACGTGACATTTTACTTAGAATATGTGGCTATATTTAGTCTGTATTCAGTAATTTAACGAAAGGTAGTTTATTTCATCGGAAAAACTGGAGTTCACATGCAATTTTGCAAGCAACCAAACGAATCCTGGCTTAGATATCAAGCCTAACTATAACAATAATCTAATAAAACTATATTAATATGAATAGAAATGACAAAATTTCTATAATATTTAAGACAGTCAAAGATATTAGGATAATTAAAAACGATATACTTATTGCAATATTGTAAAAAAATGAAAATAGAACTTATACAAGCTTTTGTAAGCTCGAAATAAAAAGCTGTTTGTATTATAAGTCATTATTTGTTCAGTTTAAGCTTCTTCGAGGAACGCGCAGTTAAATTTCTTCTGTGTTTAACTTCGAAATCAAATCGAATTTTCATTTTTCTTTATTTCTAAAAGCTTTTGATAAAAAAGTAATTTGTTAAAATTTAATATTAACTTCATTTTAAAATATGTCAAATATAATAAAATTATTGTAAATCGCTATAGCTATTTTAGTAGTATTATAATAATATATGTCATTACTACCGTTTAAAAAATTAATAAAATTTCGTTTCTATAAACAGTGATATTACAAAAAAAGACAAGCTAATAATTTAAAAATTGTTACCGCCTAAGAAATAATTGTGTAAATATCGTTTCAATTTGGAAGACTTATATAGTTTAATTAGCAATGAAAATACATTTATTGAAGTTGAGTGATATATGACTTTCAAATAAAATTGTCGATACGATAGGCGCGCTACCTACTGTACGTTAATTGTACTATGCCTATGACCTTCGTGGAAGTGCAAGCAATAATTTGACAAAATTTTACCGCAATCTGATGAACGGTATGACAGAAAATACGAACAAACCAAAGTTAATTTATATGTATTAGATAAATTAATTTTGACATATTAAGGAGAATTTGGGGAAATGTCGTGGACGAGGAGCGGAACGTTCTCAACCCCTTTGTCAGTCTCATTCTGGGCTATTTGCGAGTTTGTTTTGTCTAACCATTCCACACAATAATGAAGCTTCAATAATGTATATATAAGATTATCAATCCACGTTGAACTTGTTGATTAATGTTGACTTTATAAACATAAGATATATAGTTGCACATATACTCGTAGTTGTTAAAATAATGCGAATAGGGACATTCAGACGTTTGCTACATCCCTATTTAAACCATAGTAATTGATTAATAATATACAATATTTTTATATATTTTTGTATATAATAATGTAGAATAAGTTAGATATTTTTTTAATAAATTAACTCTATTTGCGAATTTATAGGTGTAAACTGTAAAGTTTTGAAAGTACTGGATCGGTGGATAATTTGTCTATTATTTATGATCGGTATAAATTAAATAAAATATTTTTTGGCAGTTTCAAATTAAATTTGATTAACAAAAAAACAGGCAGGGAATCTTTAAAATGCCAAAACTAACTTACAATGTAAGTAGGTCTATATTCGGTTTAATATGTAACGAACATAGTGTACCCATATTCTAAATTCGTAAACCTTAAATTTTTTGTAAATTGTCTATTTACTTTTTATACATTTAGTTACTTTTACTTACCGTATATATTAAAAACTTATACAAAAATTGTAATTTGATAATCAATTATGTAAATTTACTGAGAGGTAAGGATGACAGCCGTACTAGTATTAACTGTGTCACAATTCAAACAATTCGATATCCGATAACTAAAAATTTAGGTACACTGCTTATAGTACAGAAACAGGGCTTTGTATAAAGCTGGCTGATTGTGCTTATTAATTTTTGTTAAATATATTTTTTTAATATCAATTCACAATCATAGGTTCTGACTATACATTTTAAAATTATAGTAGAACATACCTTGCGCTTTCGCTTAAGGTATGCCATACCAGAATTTTATTTCATGACATTTGAAACAATAATTGCTTTACGTACTCGTAAAATTATAACCATCATCGATAAGGCACTTGTCCCATCGCCGACGAGGAAGCGATTAGTTGTCGACTATTTTCTCGTTCAAGAAATGAATAATAGATATAGATCCCGTGCCGATAAAAGAGATAAATACGAGTATATTAATAGTTGCTCGCTGGCTGTTCACACTGGCGGCGACAAGAGCTATTACAAGATAAAACTCGCTCGATGCTCGCTTTAGAACCCACACCGAAAGACCAACCAGCGGTCATTTTACTCCACAGTGCGGATCTGAGTGCACTCGCTACTCGCTGCTCATATTTAGTTTCTAGAAATGAAATGAAATGAAATGAAGATTTATTTGCTTTGAAAAAGGGGTACACTTAGGTGGTTATTATATAGTGTAGATCAGCTTTTTCAGCCATCTATAATAGCATGCAAATACATTTTTTATAGTTAAATTTATCATATTACAATATAAAATTCAATTAAAATATTTATCGTCATGTCAATGTTTACAAATGAGCAATACCAATACATACAAAATTTAAATAAAATTAAGATTAAAATTTAATTAAAAATATATAACTACTGTTGTGTCATATCATGTCAAATTTAGATAGTCATTCACATTATAAAAACAATGTTCATTTAGCCACCTGTAAAAAGCGCCTTTAAATCTATTAAGGGGTAAGTCTTTTATATTTTGGGGTATTTTATTAAATATGAGAATACACATCCAGTAGCAGTTATTTTTAAATCAAGCACTCTTGGGTATAATTTGCTCTACTCTCTTCTCGTTTATAGTTAGCGGTGAGAAAAGTGCCTTAAAATTTTACTTTAGAGCTTTAGGGTGGCAAAGGTCCAATGGCAGACACTTCCTTTAATTTATGATAAGCACCCGCATTATTTCTCGATTCAACTTATCAATTTGGTTGAAAATATAGAAATTGGTTGTATGAGCTTCTAATGAATCTCAAATTGTTTGGTTTTTATACCAAAGTAAAAATTTTCAGGGTAACATTAAAGTTTTAATTCAAGATTCGGAATTGACGACTGCGATTTTCCGTTTTGCTTAATCGCTGTGGTGCGCAGGATGTGTGCTGTCTTCTGGATCGTTGCTTCCAATACCCGAGACGCAGCGCTCGCGACTGCGGCTGTCAGTTCGCTCTTCTGCACGCAGCGCCAGACGAGCAAAATCAGACCAGCTAGCGGAGTCCAGCCCGCGCTAGGGCGCGGGCTTGCTCTCACTGCCAATGCCGGTGTGCTGGTTGCGACCACCAAGTAAGCAGTAGCACGCTTACTAGTGTGTTACTAGCCGCGTTGAGATTTCACGTATTTGCAATTACACGCACGCTCTCTGAATATTACACGGTTTTCTTGCACTGGAAGTTTTCACTGAATTAAATTTTATTCACCAATTTTGTACTTGTATTTTAACTATATT